AAATGCTTAATCAATGAAACAGAAATAGTGGAACTCAAAGGAAGCTCATGAGTTATCAAACGTACTCCCTGCTATAACTAGTCACACACCATCCCCTGGAGAGCACTTAACGACTTCTGTAATGTTCTTGAGCTATCAGGAAAGCAGCTAGATTTCTGCTCTCTAAGAGTCATGCCGGAAGGCTCCTTCGTATGTGCTGCTCCCCTTAAATGACCATGCCTACATGAAGTTTCTTGGCATACAGTCTGATTAGGAAAAAAAAAAAACCAGATCCAACTCAAGCTACATCAGAAATGTGGAACAGATCTGACTTGTAACTAGATAAAAGGGAACACAGTGCAAAGCCAAGTAGATATTAGGGAGAATGACTTGATTCACACTGTTCTTCAAACAAACAGACCCACCCACCTCCTTCTTACTCTAACCATCTTTAGTATGGGTACAGAGACTCCCGAGCAACAGATAATGCAAGCAACAGTAGAAGATGGCAAAAGCTTTGTTTTTATTCCTGCAGAACAGAGGTAGCATAATCCACATGAGCTACTGCTAGGGTTTCCCTTTACCTGGCTTCAAACCTGACAGCTTACTGATGCCAATTCAACCGCTACACATTAAATGGCAACAGTAAGAATTACAACAGAGACAGTTTTTGAGTGATCAAGTCCAGATGTATTATTTATCAAGTGGGTACACCCTAGGTGGACTTACCTATATGGGGAAAACTTTATCTTCTACTATTGATATGCATATGAATGTGCTTTTTATAAATATACATCCATAGCCATGTTTTATTTTTCAGTCTAAGTAAAATTTCCATCCTCACACGTAGATTACTATCAAGCATAGATGCGGAGCAAATTTTATTCCGTTTGAATCCATCACCTGTTTTATCTCCTCTGATGATTTTTCTTTCACCATCTCAACATTAAGAATCGAATCAAGCGTCTGCAAGAGAAAGCATAAGGAATTTGGCATGATGACAGTTCTCTGATTCAAGTAAGAATCCAGAATGAATGGGTGCAATTTCAGAGAACAAAATCAAGCTCGAGGAACTTAATTCAATTTACAATGTGGACTTAGTCCTCTGAATTGCCAAAACGACTAGTAAATCATAAGCAGTAACACACTGAGAATTGGATTCACACACTGAGGCAGAACAGAAGAGATTTCTGTCAGGACACAGAACACACTTTGCTCCAGTTCTGCAGATCTCTGCTGAAGCTGCAAGAGGAGCTGCAGCCTTTCCCCTTCAGACACGTGCTTTGTTGGCAGATTTACACAGAAAGTTTGCCAAAATACAAAACTGTGAAAGAACAAAACCATTCTCTTGTCCCTCTGCTGGCTGACCTTTGGAAATATATTTACATGCTGGAAAGGGAGCTTAACCCTTTGAATTTATTACTGTCAGCATTCAGTACAGATCACCTCACTAGTAGGAACTTCCAGGATGTCAAGAGAGAAAGGACTGGATAACAAAAAACCAGACTGCTGGGAGTTTTAAGACTTGAACGTGATCTCAATAGTAAATGAGTATCTTATACTCAAGTGCAGTGTAAGGAACATCAGTTTTATCTCAAGAAGCTCTTGGCTGAAGCACTGATGGTAGCAATACAAGTTAATCCACATCCTCAATTTGCCAGCAAGTCCTCTCCTAACACTCAGGTTCATTTCTCTTACCTTATCTTTTGTGAAACCTCCCTTTGATGTCTTTGTGCCCAAGCCTTCTGCCTAGAAGAAAACATTCTTCTTTAGTTTTTATAGCTGATGCTTTAATACCATTTATTTGCCTTCCCTACCATGCATAACATGCCTGCTGACAAGATGTCCTGAGTACGAGCTCAAATTTAAGATACTTAAAGAGATTGCTGCAGTGCATTTTATTAAAATAAAATATTGATTTGGAGAATAAGAAGATGAGTAACAATGTGAACTATAAATTTCAAGATCAGAAAGGATTAAAGCAAACTATTATGCATTTTGGATCCAATATTATTGAACAGCTTGCTTTCATTCACTACAAAATGATAAATGCAAGATCATGTTACTCTATCTGGCCAAACTAATCTGGAACTAATTAAACACTTAAACAAGGCCTCAAGCACAGAATTTACAGGCTAAAAAAAAAATAGCAAAATAATATGCTGGAATACAGAACAGTATTTTTAGCCAGCAGTGTCAAATTCTGGGGCACCTTACTAACAGGAACGCTGTATATTTGTAGCATTATGCTGATATAATGTGACATTATAGCTTTAATAGACATGAATTACAAAGAAAATTGGCCTTGCCTTTTCCTCCATGCATCTGATAAATTCTCCTTGACTGGAATATCCCACTGGCTGCTTTTTCACTTCATTTCTTTTTTCCATACGGGATTCGAACACATCTGGACTGGATCTGAATCGGAAAAGGGACTATTGACAGTACTGGGTGATTAACACCATTTGGCCTTTTAAGATGTTCACTGTGGAGCTGATTCATGTTCTTAACTTAAAACTTTTAACTTCTTGTTAGTAAAACCTCTTATCAAGCTGGTCATGTTGGGGAGACGACTTTCTTGACTTGGTGGCAACAACGTAAGTGAATTTCAAGGCAGCATTTAGCCTAAACGAATTCATTTTCTCGTAAGGGCAGAAAGCTAAAAATAACCTCCCTCCTCCCCAGGAAACCCAGCTCCCCAAGCACCCCCTCTCCCCAAAACCGACCCGACC